GGGCAGAACAAAGTTGTTTCAGTGGTGAAGGGCCCTGTCCAGGGTGCTCACTAACCTAACTGTTCTTCAAGGTGAACCAGAAAGCAGATCTTTCGGAGAGCCTACTTTGAAGACCTCACAAGATCATATAAATCTCTGTTTCTCAGCCAGCAAGGGGAATTCTGGGAGTTGAAGTCCACCCGTCTTAAAGGTGCCAAGGTGGAGAAACGCTTCTCCAAACTATAGGAGAGAGACCATAGAACTTCTTTCATCAAACCTTGTTTTTTGAGGTTAGCCATGATACCACTTTGGTGACAGAGCCCTTTAACAAAACCCTCAAAGTGCAATCACTGTGACTCCAAAAGTCGATGTTGCTGATGCTGAATTCTCACAGCCTGGCTGACGTTTGTATTTTAAAAACTGCCCCTCAAGTCTTACACAGAGTGCTGTGAAAAAGCCCTGAACTGGGAGGGGTTCCCTTCTTCACAGTTGCAACCCGGATTCCTGCTCAGAGGACCAGCGATGTCAGGATGTGTCTCCACTTATTTCCTGAAACCGCAAGCCCACATCAGATCTTGATCATAATACTTGCCAATCACATAACCGTAACTCACAGCATGTCTCACTTTAAAAGGAAACCAACCGCTGAGATTCTCGTCAGTTGGCACCTCCAGAAAATGCTTCCTAGCGGCATTTGGCGATCCACATTACTGTACTTAACATCCCTCTATAATGACCAGGACATTTGCTGTGCGATCTGATGCAATTCAAAAGTGTCGTTCAAATTAGTCTTTGCATAATCAAAAGGCAGCTAGAAAGAGAAATGATCCAAAGTCACATATAGAGCTAAGGAGGACTGAATTACAACCGACAACAACCGACAGGCTTTTTATGAGAAATGCAAAGGAAGTTCTACAGCAGTGTTTCTCAACCCTGGCAACTAAACTGTAGGAAGTTTAGGAGAAATACAAAGGAAGTTCTACAGCAATGTTTCTCAACCCTGGCAACTAAGATATGTGGACTTCAACTCCCAGAATTCCCCAGCCAGCCATGCTGGCTGGGGAATTCTGGGAGTTGAAGTCCACATATCTTAAAGTTGCCAGGGTTGAGAAACACTGTTCTACAGTGTTGCTTCCTCCTCCAGCTCAAATCAACTCTGAGTGGGAAATCCAAGCATAATATTTTCTCCAAACTCTTTCATCTCCCTAAAGGTGTGAAAGGAGGATGAACAGTCTTGATTCCAGCAACTCAGTGCTAACGATCTGTAGGACAAGTTTGCTGCTGGACTGGTCTTTGCCGAAAGAAATCCATGAAGTGCTTCAAGTCCAGTTCCCCCATCCTTAGGTATCCATCCCCCCAAGAAGAGGGTCCATGATTGAAATATCCAAAATCACAAACAGGAGTCTCATGGAGGCTGGAGGCTTAAGGACTGGACTGGCCCAGATGAGGAAGCCCTGTTAACTTTTGTAAAGCTGGCTGGAAATGTAAAGCAGGTATCAATTCGGCAGATTTTTTAATTTATCCCATTTGTACACCACCCAGCTCCCAGCAACAGGTGAAGACATGAAAATAGGCAGCATTAGGGATGATGCAAAGCAGGGGGGAAATATCTGCAATGAGGTTTCTAAGACAGAACTCAGGATTTTCCAAAGAAAGGGGGAATCATGGCAAGAAATATCTGTTATTTCTATTGCGTTTGTACAGTTCAGTTAGTGTCTTACTAAATTTATTTAAAACAAGAGGTTCAGGCCTTATCTTACACCCTGCAAGGTTTTTTGTAAAAACTACCATACATAATTAAAGCACAGCGATAACATATTCTGAGGATCCCAGATCATGGTGGAAAGGAAAAAGACCCCATCAAATGATCTGGAAACAATCGACCTTTGGAAGTCAGGGGCTGCATTTTTTAAAAAAATATATTTTCAGTCTCCAAGGTGATGTTATGTCACCACAGACATGAGTGGGCAACATTTGCAGTAGATGTGGATCATATTTTAATAGAAAAATACTACTATTTTAAGGCCAGTCCATATCTTATGCCCTTTGATTTGAAATGCGAAAATGGAATATTCGTGTTTTTACAATTAGGGAGTTTGCTGCCAGATCTCAGGACTGAAATCCTAGAGTGTTTTGGGGACATGAAGGAAGGGTTGAGGATCTGGGGACATTTCTCCCCGATTTATGTTAGTCTGCTAGGTCAGAGCTGGACTCAGATACCTTGGCCGCCAAGGCATGCCGTCCAAAGGGTATTCCCCTGAATTTCTCAGCCAACATCAGAGGAGGCTTCTCCTGAGGAAGCCCTGCTCGATTGGCACTCTTACACAGCCCTCATTTTACATCAGTGGGCTTGAGGTTTGCCATCTGCTTGAACCAGACGTAACTTGTGGTTCTCAGAGTCTCTTGAGCAAAATTGAGAAGAAAGGGACAGAGTCACAGGAATCTCAGCAAGGGAACTATTTTCTGAAGACTGTGGAGTCCTTGGGGTTCTCTGAGCTTGGTTCTTTTCTTGCAAATGTTTCATGACCCAGCTAGGTAACATCTTCAGTGCTAAAATGGGGTGGGGTTTGCTCTCTGAAGACTGGCATCGGCAGGGGTGGGCTGTGGAGAGCCAAGGAGATGACCTAGACCAGAGGCCATTGGAGGAACTCCAGGAGCAGAAGAAACATGTTAAGTCCAGTGAGGTGGGAGAATATCACAGAGACCCCTCCCCTTCACTCCCTGGGGTATAAGAGGGAGGGGAGGTGACACACAATCCAGCTTTCAAGGTTTTGTTATGATAGCACATCCCAGTAAAGTATGGTTCTAGTCTTCCTGTGGAACCTGTTTTCTCCTCTACTCTATCTTGAAGAGCTGACATGGGCAAGGGAGGCCCAGACGGATGAAAATGGCATCCTGGTGTTGTGGCAAGCCCTAACCCTTTTCTACAGGTGTGGCAACATTCCTTGCCCACTCCAAGATGGCAGAACGGGTGGCGCAATGCCCACACAGGTGCTTTGGCTATTCTGATCAAAGCAGCGGGAGCCTACTGATGTCCGATGTGCAGTAAGGCAGAGACGTCTCTACTTCCTAACTGCCTTTCCACGAACTGGCAAAGTCTCCTCACTCGTAACATAAGAACTTCCATCTGGCTCACAACCCACTCCTGATCCCTTATCATCCTGAGAACTGACCATTTACACTCCTGTTGCCTTGCAGGGACATGGGCTTTTTAACATAGATCAGACACTCATATCCACAAGATGAAGTCGTTTTTATTTGGATCATAGAAAGAGAATGAGGGGCTTGCTGCTGGTCATTCCGCTACCATGACATAGACCACCAGCTGATGGTCTATCCCACCCTCAGCCAACCTGTCAATGGGGATGTTCAAACAAATATAGAGACTGGCTGTTTCCCTAAACCACAAACTTCTCGGATACTCATTCCTGAAAATAACAATAGCTAAGCCAATGTGTCATCACCAACTCAATGTTGCTGAAGTTGTTCAATAAGAGATACCAGGCTCATAGAGAAATGCAGAAGCCTACAATCAGTTTCAGAAAGATCTCATCCGCCTTGCCCAGGTGCTCTAGGAGGAAGAGGAGGAGAAGGAGAAGGAGAAGGAGAAGGAGAAGGAGAAGGAGAAGGAGAAGGAGAAGGAGAA